GAATAGACAGCAGGTGGAAATTATAGGCAATTAGCAAGACACACCCAATAAAGGAGTGGTTCTGCAGGTGGTGACCACAGACCACTTCTCAGTTCCTATGCTTCCTGGCTGATGTTTTGGTCACTTTTGAATGCTGGCTGTGCTTTCACTCTAGTGGTAGCATGAGACGGAGTCTACAACCCACACATGTGGCTCAGGTAGTGCAGCTCATCCAGGATGGCACATCAATGCGAGCTGTGGCAAGAAGGTTTGCTGTGTCTGTCAGCGTAGTGTCCAGAGCATGGAGACGCTACCAGGAGACAGGCCAGTACATCAGGAGACGTGGAGGAGGCCGTAGGAGGGCAACAACCCAGCAGCAGGACCGCTACCTCCGCCTTTGTGCAAGGAGGAGCAGGAGGAGCACTGCCAGAGCCCTTCAACATGACTTCCAACAGGCCACAAATGTGCATGTGTCTGCTCAAATGGTCAGAAACAGAAACCGGCGCGCCCGTTCCCCAGACCTGAATCCAATTGAGCACATCTGGGACATCATTTCTCGCTCCATCCATGGATGCTTTAGTCCAGGTCTGGGAGGAGATCCCTCAGGAGACCATCCGCCACCTCATCAGGAGCATGCCCAGGTGTTGTAGGGAGGTCATACAGGCACGTGGAGGCCACACACACTACTGAGCCTCATTTTGACTTGTTTTAAGGACATTACATCAAAGTTGGATCGGCCTGTAGTGTGGTTTTCCACTTTGACTTTGAGTGTGACTCCAAATCCAGACCTCCATGGGTTGATAGATTTGATTTCCATTGATAATTTTTGTGTGATTTTGTTGTCAGCACATTCAACTATCTAAAGAAAGGAGTATTTAATGAGATTATTTCATTCATTCAGATCTAGGATGTGTTATTTTAGTGTTCCCTTTATTTTTTTGAGCAGTGTATATTGAAGGGGTACAAATTAACTGTCTGGTTGTTTTTAATTTAATATTTTAAATACAGCCAAATGTTGTTTCTAGAGCAGCAACATTAATGTTTACAACTGCAAAGTAACTCAATAACTTTATCTGACATCACAAGTAGTGAGTGACGTCTAGAAAGAATACCATCAGTCTGTATCAGTCCCTCCTCCTCTCCCGTTGGCTGCAGGTAACGTTACCAGGTAGAAGGAGGAGCGTCTGGTGTGTCTCAGCCAGCAGCTGAGTTTTTACAACAGACCAGTCTGTGCTCCAGACAGACAGCTTTCTATTTAGCTTGTTTTTAACATATGGCTAATGCCAAGCTAGCGTTAGCGGTGTTTGTATAAAACATCCAGGATGAGATACTGAGGACAGAGATGATTAGATTAACCATTTCTACATGTTTAACATTACCTTACAGACATGTATATTGATAAAGTATTGTCTTTTCACTTGCGAAGGTTTTATTGCACGTACTTACAGTAACGAGTGTAGTTGTCATCAACTAACGTTAAAGTAATTTGGAGCTAACTAAACCCTCACCGTATTCCACCACGACGGCACAGCCTCTCGCTCTGCTGCTGTGTAAGTATGTGTGTGTATGTAGGAGCCGACAGAGAGCAGGCAGAGACCGCAGCCTGATGATTTTCTCATCCATTGCGTTTCACATTAAATCAGATTTGACGCTCAAGACATAACGTTACATCATAGGACCCGCAAGTCTCGATAGCAGTATCGATAAGCTCGAACCTTATTGATTTTCGGCATTTGAGAAATTTTGGAACCGGGTCTCGATCTCCATCCCTATGGCTGGGTCAGCAGTATAAGTTCACTTGACTAAAATAAAGCTTAAAAGAACTTGGTCGTTCTTGAATTCAGAGTTGCGCGACTGAAACAGATAACTTTTAACAAACAAAACAAAAGAAAATGTAAAGCAAGTAAGTTGCTGGAAACAAGGGAAAAGCAGAAGTTGCGGCGCTTCGCCGGGCCGGACTCTTTGCGTTGCTAGGAGAGCAGGAACAGGCGTGTGCCGAGGGCAGAGCTAGAACAGTTGAGGAGAAGAGAGTGAGCGAGCTCGTGTCGCTGTGTTTTGTTTCTTTGGGCGTATCTCAGGAGGAAGGCTTTGTTTCCCCTAAGGGAGGGCTTCCAATATTTTTATTTACGCGTATTTTAAATCAAATACTTTCCCACAGTCAAACCTTAATTGTCAAACAGTTATACTGTTCTTAGTTTTAAGCATTTGATAAAAAGGAAACTATTAATTAATCATTTTAATGGTTACCAGTTAAACACATTTTCAGGATTTCAGAATGAAAGAAACTTAACTCAACATTTCCTGGATAATATTGGCAGTTAAACCTTCTTAGAGAATACAAGCAAGTTATACGAACATGGCACCAGATTACAAACAATAAAATACAGTGATAGAGTGAGTGATACATTAAAACAGTGGGAGAAGTATTAAAACAATGACATGTAATCCTCCTTTTGTCCTCTTGGGGGGGGCTCTGGTCTCATGAGAGGAGACTGAGATAACTTTGATTATTTCTTTAAAACAATCGTTTGCTCAGGAGCTGGGGAAATTATTTAACACATGATAATTGTTGAGTTGGCAGCCCGGCTGACGGTGAGTGTCTTTTTTATTTCTCCTGTGATTCTGTTTTCCCCTCGTGTTTTGGCCTGCCTGTTTGTGTCTCCTCCCCTCTCCCTGTGTGTGCTCTCCCTCTCTCTGCTCCTGAGCCCAGCTGACAGTTCGCACCTGCACCTCGTCAGCCACCTCCTCCGCTTGCTCCTAACCCAGTGCCACTTCTTCACTCAAGCTCTTGTGTAACCTGCATCATCTTTGTTTCTCTGTTCTTGGTTTTCCCTCTGTCTAACCCTGTCTGTCTTCCCTCCAGGTTCACTCACCTCCGTCGTGTCAGCTGGGCTCGCCACCCTGCCCTCTCCTCTCGGATCCCCTCCACGGCGTCCTCCCAGCTCTTCCCCTTGCCTAGCCAGTCAGCCTGTGACCACACTCCTCCACCAACCCCCCGGCCGCTTCCTCGGCCCCCCCGGTGCCTCCCAGTTCCCTCGTCCCAGCCTCCTTGGCCCCACCTGCTCCTCGGCCCCCAGGGCTCCTCGGCTCCCTTGCCTCAGCCCCACTTACTCCTCGGTCCCCCGCGCCCATGTTCCCCCCGGCATCCACCTCTCCCTCACCTCCACTTCCTCAACCCCTTTTTTCCCCTCAAATCCTCTTTCACCTGAGCGTTGCTTTTGGGTCCTCTCTGTCCAACACACCATAACAATAATATTTCTGTTACTTATTCTTTAACAAGAAGATATATAAAACGGTGTTGAAGCATGGCTTTAGTACAACATAAATTAAAGGAATATTGAGTGAGTATTGAGGAAGATTAAAACACTGCAAATTAACTTTCTTAATGGATTCTTCTTTTCAACACAGTCTTAAGAACATGGTAATAGAACTACTCAAATTGAAGTGGCGAGAACTACTAAGTAACTTAACAAAGATTATTTAATTAATGGTGTCTGTCTTTCTTATCAGTTTCGCATATCTGCGTGAGAAGGAGGGTGTCCATGTTAATGGGTCTTTGGTGGGGTATAGAACCAGGACTGAAAGAAAGGAGTTCTTTGATGTCTGAGGTAATGTTAAAGAGGAACTTCGTTACCATGGTTACCCGGTGTGTGTGGGGGGTGGGGTGTGTGTGTGGGGTGTGGGGGGGCAGTTTAGCGTCTCTTGACCTTTAATCAAAAGGGTTCTGATTGTTAGGAATGTGGTTTTGTGTTCATGTTTCCTGTTTAAGTCCGTTTTTGGTTCTGTGTAGTCTTGCTTAGTTAGTTCTTAGTCCTGTACATTAGTTCATGTCTTAGTGTTTGCTTCTGGTCTGTGTTCTTATGTGTTATTTTGCCCATGTCTAATCTGAGTTCTGTTTTGTCCTTGCTTCAGCCTGTGGTCCTTGTTGTTAATGTATGGTGTTTTGCATCTGTAAGTGTCTCTTTGTTTTCCCCTTCTGTCTCTCTGCCTCTGCTCGTTAGTCCCTGTGTATAAATGTTTGGTGTTTCCGTTCATTCTCTGCCCGGTCATTGTAGCATGTTGACGCTCTGTCTGTGGTAGTAGTTCGCTCTGTCTCATCCTGTTGCCTGCCTATTCTCTGTGTGTTTGTTGGATTTTCTCTGTTGGATCACCTGCTTTGTTAGTTCCTGTATGATTTTGGATTCCCTGGACTCAGCCACTCTTTGTAAGTGTGCTCGCCTTTAGATTGTTGAATAAACCCTTTGAACTGTACCTCCTCTGCTATGTGTTCTGCATTTGGGTCCACCAACCTTCTCCACGCCACAAACCCTAACACTGATAGGCTGGTTCTGGATGAAGTTAGTCTCTGGGAAGTGTCGGGGTGACACCTTTATGGTCACTGAGGTCCTTACAGCCTGGTTCAGGTTGAGGTTATTCTCTGGACAAGGTTAATATTGTCATTTTAATAGTCATGCATAGTGTCTGTTATCTATTTACCAGAGATGCTCACAAATCTCTGAGCTAGAGTCCAAGTCAAGGTTGCTTATAAAACTACATAGCTATAAGGATTTCTGTAACCTGTTTTTCACTTACAGAGCACAACCATAGGAGATTTTAATATTCATGTAGACGTTGAGAATGATAGCATTAGTATAGTGTTTATCTCGCTTTTAGATTCCATCGGCTTCTCTTAGTGTTCATGAAACGACTCACTGTTTTAACCACATCCTCGACCCTGTTCTGGTATATGGTATTGAAATTGAACCCTCTAAAAAAAATAAAATAAAACAAAGACGGTTAGCTCCATGGCATAATACTGAAACTCTCAAAGCAAATATTGTGGACACCTGAGAGGAATTGGCGTTCCACCAAACAGGAAAATTCTCGTTTAATTTGGCAAGATAGTCTTAAAACTTATAGGAAGGCCCTCCGTAATGCCAGAGCAGCGTACTACTCGTCATTAATAGAGGAAAATAGGAACAACCCCAGGTTTCTTTTCAGCACTGTAGCCAGGCTGACAGAGAGTCACAGCTCTATTGAGCCAAGTATTCCCATAGCTCTCAGTAGTTACGACTTCATGAGCTTCTTTAATGATAAAATTATTTTGGATTGTGATGATATTATGGAGCGTAGATGATGATGTCCCTAAATTCCTTGCAATTGTACGTTGAGAAATGTTCATAAACTGTTGGGCTTTTTGCTGACGCAGTTGTTCACAAAGTGGTGAACCTCACCCCATCCTTGCTTGTGAATCACGGAGCCTTTCGGGGATTCTCCTTTTATACCAATCATGACCCTCACCTGTTTCCAGTTAACCTGTTCACCTGTGGAATGTTCCGAACAAGTGTGTTTTGAGCATTCCTCAACTTTCCCAGTCTTTTGTTGCCCCTGTCCCAGCTTTTTTGGATTGTGTTCCAGGCATCAAATTCAAAGTGAGTGAATATTTGCTAAAAACAATAAAGTTTATCAGTTTGAACATTAAATATCTTGTCTTTGTAGTGTGTTAAATTGAATATAGGTTGAAAAGGATTTGCAGATCATTGTATTCAGGTTTTATTTACGTTTTACACAACTTCATTGGAATTGGGGTTGTAGGTTAATTGTTGTATTTACTTTTTAATTTATGTGTCTTACCAGTAACAGATAAACACAGTGGCTGTCACGACTTCAGCAGGTTCACTCTCCCTGACATTACAGACCCTTTCACTCCCTGCTGCCCTGCAGATACCCTTTCATTCCCTTCACCTGACCTTTCCACTCACTCACCTGATTCCCATCTTATTTCTGATCAGCCTCGTAGTGAAAAGTGAAGTTACAAGTTAGGTCAGAGCGGGTGCAAAAATAGGATCCACTGGCTGGTCGAGTTAGATTTAATGGTCTCACCATATGGCTGTACTTTTATTAATGCAATTGCTATTCTCACTTATTTGTTGTATTAACTTTATTAATTGTTTGTCTTACCAGTAACAGAGAGTTTGACAGAGTCACTTAAAGGGGAGCTGAAGTCTCGTCTTGAAACACTTGTCTGATATTGACACTGGTACGATCCCTCATTGGCAAAATGAACTTGCAAGATGCCGAAGGTAGCAGAGTTGGTACTTGATGTTTGGGTCGTTCTGAATGAGCTGGAGAGTTTCACCAGGATGAACGTTCCACCTAAATGCTGAGTTGAGATCGAACAAGTGACGCTGACTTTCTGACCCCAGGTAACCTCACCAGCAGGATCCATGGAGATGCTGGGCTTTGAGAGGCTCTCTGAAAAAATATTAGAGCAGTAAATGGACTGACTTTGAGGTCAACATTTTTCTAAACATTTTCTTTTTTTGTTTGCTAAATTTCCTTTATGCTAAAGGAATGGTTCACCTTTTGGGGAAAAAAAACCTTTTCAGTTTTTCGGTCCCCTCTGGTTGCCTTCAGTAAGTTACTGCTGTTTCCTTGTTTCCAGTCTTTATGCTAAGCTACACTGACTAGCTGCTGGCAGTGGCTTCATATTTAAAGGACAGCTATGAGATTTCCCAACATGTTGAACTATTTCTTTAAACAAGTTAATGAAACAGATTAATTTCCTTACCAGTAACAGAGAGTCTGACAGAGTCACTTAAAGGGGAGCTGAAGTTTCGACTGGAAACACTTGTCTGATACTGACACTGGTACGATCCTTCGTTATCAAAGTTCACTTTAGGTATAATGAAGGTAGCAGAGTTGGTACTTGATGTTTTGGTCTTTCTGAAGGAGCCTGAGGTCTGCTGCAGGAGGAATGTTCCACCTGAATGCTGAGTTGAGATGGAACAAGTGATGCTGACGTCCTGACCCCAGGTAACCTCACCAGCAGGATTCATGGAGATGCTGGGCTTTGAGAGGCTCTCTGAAAAAATAACACAACAATAAAAATATTAAATGTATTATATATTTGATCCTGGCTGTGTTAATGTTTTCTCTTTTTTCAATAGGTGTGTAGTGGTAAGGCAGTACAATGGGAAACTTGAATGAATGAATTTGTGAAGCACACACTGTAAAAATAAAAACAACTCATAATCCTTCTTGTGTAGCTCATAGAAGGTTTAAAGATTTGATAATTTACAATATTCTATTATTGTAAAAATTATATAATTTTAATTAACATCAAAAGTATCATGCCGTCCTGCTTCACCCTGATTCCTTTCCCACAGGATGGTTGGGCCATAAAACACCACACTCTTCTCTTTCTAGCTGATGTGCAAATGTGATAAGCCCAAGACTGTGAAGTGAGGGACACTACCAATCCCTGCCTTCTTGAGCCAACAAATGTTTCATTATAAACTGTGTTTTGTTCTGTTTAAATAAGTTAGTAGTGGCGTTTGCCTCTTAGTTTAGTAGTAATGACCCTGTTATCCTTTAGTGATGGTTGAAGACAAGAGAATCATTAGAAAGTAATCTTGAAGAGTTTCCTAATTTCCTTTTTTTTTGTTTTAATTTCTCCCTATTATCCAATAGTAATCACTGTCTGTTTAGTGTTTAACTAATGCTTTAGCTAAATGTTTTGTATACAATTTCTTATTAAAACGTTCATCTGCACGTTCCTCGTGTGTATAATCCGCTTCCAAGTTCAAGTGGTGAATTTCAAAGTTGAATATCGACTGTCCTTTCATAGAACCCGAGCTCCACCAAGAGGACAGAAAAGGTATAAAACACAAGTGTTTAAAAGTGTTGAATATCTCTCACAATGTCACTCTCTAACAGATTCTTTGCTGCAACTCTTACATATATTTTGTCTCTTGAGTTAAAACCATCAAGTTTACACTGGAAACATGTAGTTAAGCTGTGTTACGCCTGCTATTAAGTACAATAACAATTAAGAAACAATTAATCCTTGAATGGTTGATCTTGTTTTGCTTGTCTTTATATAAATGTTTAGAATTAAGTATCTTTCGAATGTTGATATTGTGGAGAAACAGACTAAATGGAAAATACGTGCAAAATATACTTTGTATCCCACTAAAAGTTAGCACTTTGAGACCAAAGGGTTACTCCCCCGGGGAAAATCACTCCCAAAATGACGTCACCATGTCCCAAAAAAAGAGAATAGATAAAAGACCTCGTCGTCCTTTGTCTCACTCTCTTGTACTCTCTCGTAATTACGCTTTCTTGAACTTTCTTTAGTTTTGGAATTCCAATCTTTTTTTTTCATACTTTTTTTCATACTTTAAACTTCCTTCAGAAAACCTGAGAAAGCTTCATGTTCCTGAATGCCCATTTGATTTTGACTTTTGTTTGGAGCTGCCTGGGACAAAACTTTCCCCAGTTTTAAACTCAGCAACGTTAAATAGCCTACATTCCCTGGGCCTCGCAAGCCTATGGCGAATGTATGTGTCTTATTTGATTTTGTTGTTTTAACGTTATCCGACCATTCTAAGCAACTTTTGACCCAGAAACCCGTTCAATCCTCACCTCGAGTTGAACGAAGTCACTGTTCCAACGACAGAGTCTGGAGTGTGTTCCGCTGAGCTATAGCGTTGCTGCAAGCGTTTTCATAGGACTCCGGAGCAAATCCACCGGTTTAAACCCAGCTTGAGATGCAGCTGGGATGCCAATCCAGCCGGGCCCGGACAACAACAACAAGCCTAACCGGCAGTTAGCCTTTGCCACGGGGAATTATGACAAAAGTAAGGCAAAACAAAACACATTCTGCGACCCGTTGGTGTCCTATAGTTGGTATAGAAACCCCTTGTTTGTTTAAACTACATTTGCAACATAATTCACAACCATTCGTTCCCTCATTCTCTTAGAATATTCTCCCTCTACAATTCCTAACTGAAACTCCATCGAGCCTATTATACTGATTTTGTCTTATTACATATTCTGTTCATTACCCTCTGGTTTGTTTCATGTTTGACTGTTATTCCTGTAATATTCCCTTATTTACTCACATTGTTGTACTCCCTTTAGTTAGTCAATAAATTTCACCTTGATAATAGTGATTTGTGTGTGTGTATTGTTTAGTGTCCTGGGTCCCTGTCCAGAGGATTCGTCCTTAGATTTAAGACTGACTGACTGATTAAATTTAACAATTTTAGAAATAACTGAACCATTAATAACTAACGAATTACCAGAAATTCACGTAATAATCAAGCTATACTCAAGGACCTAAAGCCTTGGGCAGACAGCAAATCTTTAGGTGGTGCCCTTCGACGAGAGCTTTATGAATCAATATTTCTGAAATATTAATTTTCATAATTTTATCAAAATCATACGTAAACACGCTACAATGTGCCTCCACCCTCCATTCTACATTTTAATAATTACACAACCGTTTCACTTTCACATGCTTGTTTTTAAAATCCCATCTCTCTGTGGGTGGAGGCCATTGTGAATTTTGCATCACAAGTTACAGTGGGAGAAAATGCTTCAAATGAAAATAAAAGTGAAAGCATGAATAGAAATAGTTAAGACACACGACACACCGCACAGAAACACTGTTGCAGGCAGGTGCAAACTGATGCATATTGACACCTGGGTTGGGCGCAGGTCAGACACTGCCTGGCTTTGGTGACCAAGCATCTCTGTTACAGATGGAAATTAAATTAATGTCACAGAGAGAGAGAGAGAGAGATACAGAGAGAGCGAGAAGGGGGAATTGACATAATGACAAAAAGAGAGAAGTGAAACAGAAATGTATTATTTTATTGTAATTCAGTTTAAATCAGTGGAGCGTATTAAATGCAAACAGTAAAACAGCTCCACATCTGCAACAAGGACTGGAAACAGTTTTGACAGTCGTGGTTCCCAGAGGATAACCTGACAGCCTGACATTCCCTCCAGCATTATCAGCAGGTTGACATGTGGTTCAGACTGATATGTCTCCACCATGCAATGTGGTGTATTTGTGAACTTCATCAGGTCAGAATTCCTGATTTTTCCTGATAAACCAAGTGACTTCACTTTATCAGACAGTTTGTTTCTCTGTATGATGAGCATTACAGCCTCACAGAGCCTCTATTTATTTTTGTTCCCCTTTGTCTCTCTTGTAGTGCATTTCTGCTGATGTGTATGGGTCACTATAATGTGAGGTGTAGGAACGTTTGCATCAAAACGTCCCCGATTCCTAAATGTCCTGAAGGCAGCAGGACCCAAACAACTTTATTTGTTATACAGTGAATAACAACACTGCGCCCCTTTCTTTTAATCCCACACCCCAAACCAGAGGGGGCAAAAAGTCAGCAAAAGAGAAATAAGCTCTGAAAAATGAACAAAGGGTTTTTTGTAACATACAGTCTCAGACAAGGCAAAGTTTTACTGCCAATTAAGCTAATGTTGTTGTTATTATTAGTAGAAGTAATGGTGGTATTACTGCTTTACTTATGAATAGCTACATATAAGAGACATATTTACAAAATCTTTCTCACCTGAACAGATCACTCCAGCATCCTCACCATGTCCACAGTTGTGTTTCCCAAATCCTCCATGCCGACACTGAGTCAGAGACCTTTCACTTCCTGAACAGGCCACATCATCAAGCCAGATTTGACCGGTTCCTTCACCAAAGCAGGTCGACTGAGGGGCACTCAGTGCTGCACCACAGCCCAGCTCCCTGCACACCACCTCAGCATCATTTAAGTCCCAGCTGTCATCACAGACTGTTCCCCAGGTGTTGTTGTGATAGATTTCAACTCTTCCAGAGCACCGAGTAGACCCGGACCCAGCTAGTCTGATCTGACCATCTATCAGACATTTAAGACACAACATAGAACATTTTATACACAAAGTAAACAGCAAACTAACATTACTGTACGCATGTCAAAGGAGAATGAACTGACCTGCAGCAGGTGAAGAAGCGGTCAGGAGGAAAAAGACTGTGGAACAGAAGAAATGACATGGCTCATTACATTCAGTAAACTGAAAAGTGCAGAATTAAAGTTTGCCTTGTTTATGTTTTAGTTCCCTGTGTTAATTTCGATGAAGAGAAGAGAATCTTTAATTGGAAAAACTTCTGTTCTATACAATACAATAATCCTGCTATACAAAAAAAGTTCCTTTTCAAATAAAATTTTGGAAAGTCTGTCTTACTAAGGGCCAAATAACGAATGTTTCTCTGCTGTATGCTCCCATAGCTGACATGACGGCTGCTCTGTGTCATTTATCGGTACCAGCACAGATTAACTAAAAACTGCAGTGCACCGAAACATCTGAAAGAGCTTGCCCTTCCTGAAACACTTCCTCTTCCTGCTGTTTTTTTTTTTGTACTGAAGGTTAGAGGTTAGAAACTGTCAACCAAAAGCTGCAGCACTGAAGCATCAAGTCTGTCACTTCTGGATTTCCAATTTGTTGTTGATCAACACAAAGAAGAAGTGAAAGGAGTTGGTACCTCGCTGAGAAGTTTGATGTGTGTAGTCAAATGCGACTGACTTCGCCTGCGTTCACTGGAGCTAATCGCAGCCCGGCGAGTGCAGAATTGTGGTCAAGCCAGCTGCCGTCTGATTTCTGTTGCGCCTACAGCAGTGTCATTATGGTGCGAGTGAGCCGAAGGTCCTGAAAGATACATACGCATTTTTTTGTGATGCTCTTTTTAAATGAACACAAATACATACCACAGTAATATAATAATTTACTACTAATAAATTAATAAGTTTTAATAATTATAATTTATTATTAATACAAATACAAAATGTACCTTTTCTTTGTTATTTTCTAAAAAGAATTTATGTGTAATTTGACCTTTCACCAGCATAAAGTGTCCTCTACTATCACTGGTACATATATCATAACATTTTACTGTACCAACTTGGAGAAATTATACTCTAAAACCCCCTCCAACAGCAAAATGTAAACAGACAGTTAACATTTCTGTCAACTTTGACCTTTGACCGAAACATTTCCTTAATAGGTGACATCATCGTTCTCATATCATCTTCTTCCTAGTGTTTCATTAGGTGACCTGGTGACATCACACCACTGGAGGGAAATTTAGCTGTGTGATATTCTAGCTCTCTTACTATCTGATTTAGACTTTTTTATTAAGCCAGTTTAATGTTTTTGAACATAACATGTCCACCACGTTAGACCTAAACTTTGAGGAGATGAATCAAATTAAATAATTTCAAAAACTGTTAAAAAAATTATAGATTCCTCTTCTAGTATTGAAGGTCATGCTAGCCATTAAGCTCACGCAGGCAGGTAAAAGGCTAACTTTAGCTCAAAATGTCCACCTTGTTAGTGTCCACCCTGTTAGTCACTAACAGACCTCATGCTAACAGGTTAATAGACCTCTGTCCACCCTGTTATGTTGGTATTTTTCCTTCATAGTTTATTGAAATTAAACTAATTATTATTATTATTATTAAATTAATTATTGAAAAGTATTAAGTGTATATTTGTTTTTAAATAAAGATATGGAAGGGATTGACTATACAGGCAAGACACATTGAGTAATTCTTCTCATAATTATCATAATTCACTTTTGTTTTACTCAATATAGGCTTGCATATGCTGTTTAAAATAATTTTATTGTAAAACAAATATCTAATAAGAGTGAGGGACATATGATTTCAATACAAATGTCATTTTAG